ACACGCACACACACACACACACACACACACACTCACACGCGTGAGCGCACACACACACTAGTTGAAATAAAATATATTTTTTAAATGTTTTATTTCAGTTCATGTTTTACCTCAAGTAATTACCTCAAGTTTTTTCTCATGGTTTTAGTTTTAGTTAATGATAACTCTGATAGCATGAGTGATTCAAATCACACACATATTATAAATCTAACTATGAACATTTACTATGAGACTTTTATTTATTGTTCTGCAGTTGCAGGTTAATTTAACCCTTTTTCAGAGACGCCACAAACCCGCAGAGAGCAGACCGAAGCAGTCAGCGGGGACCAGCAGAATATCTGCTTTTGTGTTCAACAGAGGAAAGAAACTCGTGCAGGTTTAGAACAACATGAGGGAGCGCAAATGATGACAGAATTTATATTGTTGGGTGAACTATCGCTTTAAATGTATTGACAATGTATGTTTATGCTTTGAAACATCATTTAAAAGTATATAATTGGATCTGCATTATTACAGCGAAAGCTTAAGTTTTACTAGAGTAACCAGTGTTTCTGCTGTGAGTGCACAGAGAAGCACATGATGAAGATGTGCAGATGTGTGTGTGTCTCGTCATCATCATCATCACGGCTGTCTGTCTCTCTGATAATCTGTCGTGTGTCTGTCAGCACTTTGCAGAAGCAGACAGACGGATTGGACTTAAATCCTCCAGTACGACACAGATGGACAAAACACACAGACCTTGGAGAAGGTGAACACACACACACACACACACACACACACACACACAGGTTTATTTTTGTGAAAAATGGGGGAAGAACACAACCCGCTGAAGGAGAGAAGCCTGTAAAATGAGTGTGAATGTTAATCATCGTGACTCTGGCGCCACCAGCTGGACAAACAGGAGACACACCAGACACACATGCAGGATCAGGAAGTGTGAATATTATTCAACAAGGCTGTTTAGACTGACAAAATTGATTTATTAGATGATTAGTGGACTGTCTGCTGCTTTATAGACTGAGAGTTTGTTATTCATCAGTAACACACCAAATACAGTCTGAGTCAAACTAGAAAACAAGCTGAGGATGGATGAGCAAACGCTTCAATGAGGGATGCTTTCAGGACTGTAAAAACACGGTAAACCTGACAGTTACTCTCTCTCCGCAATCGCCACCAGATGACGCTCGATTTCTGCTTCTGACAGAGTCCTGAAACACACACACACACACACACACAGATGATGTTAAACCGCCTCACACCGTCTCTCTCTAAACCAACTCAAACCTCAACATCTGAACTATGAATATTATTACACAATGCTGTGTTTAAAACCTGATTATGATTCATCAATGATGTCCTTCTGTGGCGTAATGTTTTACAATAATGAGCCGCTGATGATATATTATTCCATTACTAATTTATATCTCAAAATTGGAGAAATAAATAAAAACTGATCAACAGAACATCTTTGTAGCACATGAAATTATCACACTGTACCTGGTTACATTCAGTTAAAACTAAACCAAAAAAATTCAAAATAAATATATTACTTGAAATAAAATAAGTGTTAACTGAAATAAAATATTAAATTTTAAGTTATTAATATTAAGTAATTTTTTTCAGCTAGCTGTCAAGGAAACATTTCTCATTTTCATTTAGTTTAACTTAATGTACTAAAATAACAAAGTAAATAAACTAAAACTAATCAATAAAAACTATATATATAACTAATAACAATGACAAAAGCACAATGAAATTACTATTACTACTACTTAAAATAAAAACAAAATATGAAAATGAAATCTAATTCAAAATATTAATAAAACTATAATAGCATATTAATGATACTAAAATAATACTGGTTACTATTTTATTATATTATAACATTTTATACATACATCATATTATAATATAGTATGTTCTATACATTATTAACTATAGTCAGCTGAACATTTATATTTATAATATATTATATTATTTTAAATATTATTAATTATAACTATAATAATATATTATATTTAGTAATGTAGTAATGAATTCTAGAAGCTTGAAATATCTTTGTATCAATATATATAAATATTAAATATAAATATATATATATATATTGAATCAATACTTTCGTCCTATTTAATGTTTCTGAAATAAGTCTCTTCTGCTCACAGAGGCTGCATTTATTTGATAAAAAATACAGTAAAAATAGTAAAAATGTGAAATATTATTCTAATCTAAAACAGCAGTTTTCTATGTGAATATCTGTTAAACTGTAATGTATTTCTGTGATGCGCAGCTGTATTTTCAGCATCATTACTCCAGTCTTCAGTGTCACATGATCTTCAGAAATCATTCTAATATGCTGATTTGCTGCTCGAGAAACATTTCTGATTATTATCAATGTTGAACACAGTTGTGCTGCACAATATTTCTGTGGAAACTTTGTGAATTTTGTGCTTGATTAAAGAATAAACGCCATGTATATCGGCGTGCGTCACACACCTCCACGGTCCTGTCGTAGGGCAGATCCGGCTGCTTCTTCAGCTTCTTCTCCAGGTAACTGCTGGCCTCGTGGTGTTTGACCCCGACGCTGGTGGCCCTGAAGCCGCAGAAATACCCGGCCGGGTCACATTTGTACAGCACGGGGCCCGTCTGAGGGTCCATCGCGATCAGCATCATACCTGAACGACAGACAGCGTCCCGTCAAACCCGCAGCGACCCGTCAGACCGTATCTGAGATAAGAAGACACTCACAGCAGCCCAGCGGCCTCATCTCTGCGTTCTGCGTGTAAACCTGAGAGATGTCCGCCATACGCCGGCACAGCATGTCCGCCGTGATGTCATAACCGAACTTATACTTCCACTCGGCCGCCTCGATGCGAGCCCGATGAACCTGAGAGCGGCTGTCAGCTAAACACACACACACACACACACATGCATATGTGAACTTACACTAACATGTGAGAATTATCTGACAGAGGAGACACACACCGTAATGTCCGGTCATGACGCATCCGATCCGCGGAGTGAGACGGAACATGTTTGTCATTGTAGACGCATCCAGGAGCGAGTCCGAGAGCATCACAGCATCTTAACAGACTCAGAAATGTTTTGAGACGCTTCAGTCTCAGTCCAGGAGTAAAACTGACTAAAACTCACTCAACTAGAGTAAAGACAGTAAATATGAGGGATTCTTCAGTTTGGAGAACTCTTAAAAAAGATGATTTTAACATTTCTTTTCCCTTTTGTCTTGCAAAAACAGTCATTCTAGTTTCAAAGGATCATTACACAGCTCTGCATCTCGAAAAGAAAAAAAGGCAAAAGAAAAAAAAAGCTTAATATTAGCTAATCTGATGATGCTGAGTTCAGAAATATCAATGAAAGCTTTCCATCACAATTTTTTGATAAAACAAGAATGAAGATTTTTCAAATCATATATGTGCATCAGCTTTAATGCACTTATCCAAATAACAAAAGCAGTCCAATGTCAAATGTTTCTGTTCTGCCAAAAATAATCATCTAAAATAAATCATTATAAACTTACATTCTACAAAGTAGTGGCTAAATATTTTAAAAAACTCCATTTAATGTCAAAGATATTTACAAAATAAGCTTTTTTCACAAAATCTAATGTTCCGTCTGTGTTTGGATGCAGGAAAACCCCAGCAGATAAAGCAGAAAACATATATAACGCATGAATAACACACGAGACGAATGTTCTAATGAGATGTTTCATATTTCAATACCCTGACCGCACACGTACATCTCAGAGACGGCTATTTGACGTCACATTTACATCTGTGAGACTCATCTGCGATACATCTACAAGACGTTTCCTATCCGATGTCAAACAGACGTTTAGAAGATGTCTTCAAGATGTTTGCATGAGAAACTGACATCTTAGAGACGTCTGTCAGATGTTTTCCAGATGAAGCAACTTTTTTACTTGCACTTGTTTAATTTTTCTTTCCATATTGTGTTATATATGCATGCATGTTCCGTGTTCGTGCTCTGGGTCTGACTCTACAGGCTTCTGAGCTGCTCTTACAGAGGTGTTATAAAGATTGAACACTAAGAATGTGTGTTTTACCGACACTTTCTTCTGTGTGAGCAGCACAGCGCAGTCCGTCCCTCTGATGCCCACCGTGGTCAGCCCGCTCTGACCGATGGCTTTGAAGGCATATTCTGTCCAACACACCAGATGACATTCACATTTCGAGTTTAGTGAATTATTATTGATTAATGAAGATTAGGTCAGATCTTAACAAGCCCTGCTTATGAAACTGGACTTACAGGTGGTGTTTAATGCTCAATAATGAGATATTGTCTTAATTATGACTAGAAAACACACATGCACACAGTTATTACATGCATTAATCTGTCACCAGTAGTCCAAGAAGTTGCATTAGTGCAGAAAACATGCTGCAAGCCTCTCACCGACTTGATACAGGCGGCCCTCCGGTGAGAATATAGTGATGTGTCGATCAAACCCCGAGTTCGATCCTCGAGACATGCTTCACAAACACGCTTGACGGACTTTAGCAGCTCAAACGCGCGGAGAAGTTCGTCGAGGGTGAATAAGCGATTTGACTTTCACTTTCTCTTTCGCCCAGCATGCACGCACGCACGCACGCACACCTGAGACTCGCGTGCGCCTGCGATCTGCGTCAACACGTCACACGTTAAAATTATGGAGGAGCAGTAATAGTATGAAGGTAGAATGATATGAAGGTAGAATGACGTCAAAAAGATTTGCATACGCAGGGTAAGAGTTGTGGAAGTGTACATAAGACTGTAAGCGTAAATTAAATTTGCATGCGCAAGAGAAGCTTTGTAAAGGTGTAAATCGTGTTTCAAGCGCAAGAAAAAATTATTTGCAGCATTTTACTGTTACTCGTAAGTGTAATTCATGTATTGTGAAACTGCAGCTTCATGCTAACGCAAAATAAATATGATCTGCATGCTTCTGACTTCCATTTTTCCGCACTTACACTTTTGGCACGTTTTTTCGCCAAAAGACGGTCAAAAGCACTGCAAGAGATTAATTTATGACAAGAGTGCGCCTCAAAACATAGCCTATACACCATAACAGGAGCTCACAAAAATTCTATTCGTTTCCTTTGTTCCTATCACATGTTTTAGTAAACATCATTTATTATATTTAATTTGAAAGCTTAAAACCTCAAAATTCATCCTTGTGAAAACCGTTTTGAAATCGGACATTGCATTACCATGGAAATGGTACTTTAAATCTTTTAGCGGGCTCCTCCCCCTTTAGTGCGAGGTGTCATATTACAAAATGTGTTATGGTCTTTTGGAATCAAAACTTTTTAGAATTTTGACAAAATACATATCGTTGTAAAGGTCTGAGCCTCAAGATTCCATATTTGGTGATTATTTTTCGTTAAGAGGTTAAACAATATTAAGATGGATTTTCACATGTTATAATGAACCGACATTATATAACAAGAATTAAAAAATATATAATTTATTGCTTTCTAATGAATAAATATATGATTGTAGTAGCCTATATAATATAATAGGCCTATATAAACAAGCCAAAACAGATTAATTTAAAACGAAACTGAAGTAAAGTTGGACTCATAGCCTACCTCTCATTCAGCACAAATCCAAATCTTTCCATATTCGCGATGTATTTGAAGCTAAAATATTATTCATTAGATAAACTAGGCTTTGTACTTCACGCGCGATCCAATATCATCAGGGAAAAATCATAATGAGCATAAATGTGCCACAGTGGACCGGTGCTCAATTATAATACAGACTATTGAAGCTGACTGGTGTAACTTTATATGTTTGGCTGTATTTTATTTTGATAACGAGCAGGCTGCTGTTTGCACTGAATATGGGCTTTATGTAGGCCTGCCGGTATTATTTCCGATTGTAATAAAATGTGACTTATACGTGACTTATCTGTTTGATTTTTCCTCTCAAACCTCTGTGAGTGTGTGTGAGTGAGTGAGTGAGTGAGTGAGTGAGTGTGT